GAGAGAGAGAGAGAGAGAGAGAGAGAGAGAGAGAGAGAGAGAGAGAGAGAGAGAGAGAGAGAGATAGAGAAGGGTCGTCCTCATCTAGTGTAGTGTACATGGTTTACAGGTAAAAGAAAGGAGAAACAAACAGAGCACAAATGCAGACGTTTCCCTACCTGCTGACATCCGTCAACACCTCTCTAATATATGCCACGACAGTGCCCCTTGATCTTGTTTCGAAACCGAACCCCAGAGCGATGACCGGCTTTGCTGCACAAAGTTACAAAAACACAGTTTTGATCACGAGAGGCCAATTTGAGTCCAGTTCTCTATGCTTAGGTACTCCCTCCCTCCCATACAAGTACACACGATGATAACTGGGTACACTTTTAGTTCACTTCTTCCTGTTACTCCAATTCTCCCTGATTGCCACAGTGCTGCAGATTTTCCATCTTTCACGACATGCTCCCAAGATTTGGACGGAGCTAGTCAATTAAATACAGTACCGACTATTCCAAGCAAACTACAACATAGAATTCATTAGAGTTTATAAATCTTTGAATTTATCTTTCTTGTCATTGAATTACTCAAATACTACCAATAGTCGATTACCGTCGTGTCGTATAATGAGACTTTTCTTCAGATTAGTTTGGAAAGAGATTGTACTTAATTTTCATGCAGTGGGTACAGCAATTGTGTTACTGACGTATGGTTGTAACATAAGCCACACCCGTCCACTATTGCGCAATGCTGTGTCCATTGACATTTCTCTTGCCGGATTGTATCCCTTATATTGCTGTCGTCTTTGCTCTAGTTTGGCTTATGCTTTGGCTCTTCCTTGGAGTACTTCTTGTCGCATTGGGGTCTACATGCCATGGCAGTTTCCCACAATGGATTAATCGTACCTCAATGGCACAATGGAATCACGATAATGGAAGTGTGCACCTTGAGATTGGCTTCAGCCCAACCCACTTGCCATATTTTGAGCATCTTTACCCAATCCAGAATGTGGAAACCGTGGAACAAACCTGACTGGACCACCTGCAGAAATAAAACAACCAGACATTCTAAACGACGGGAAATAAAACAACCAGACATTCTAAACGACGGGAAAGGTCCTCAATCCCACCGGTACTTGGACCAAAATACCATTATTTTTACTTAGTCCCTTATGGTCCTTGACACTTTTCCTCGTGGTGTCTTAGTCTCTCTTGGCGTTTCCCGCTCCATGGCTGCCCCATTTCTAGTCTCTTTCCATGTCCCACGCGCGCCGGTTTTCCAACCGCGGCCTTTTTATTCTTGCGGCTCCCGTCAGTTGCCTCGGGTGTCCTTCATGCTAGGGTCCTTCTCTTCTAGCTTCTTGTGGTCCACCGCGCCCTTTTACTTGGCTCATGGCCCTTTGGCCCTTCTTAGGCTGCACTCCGGTGGCCCTCTTGGCCCCGTGCTACATTCTCTGTGCCGGTGCCCCAGCATTATTTTCTCGACTTTCTTGGATCCTTTCTTCCTGCGGCGCGCAGCCCAGGGTATTATTTTTCCAGGCGGTCCTTTTTCTTTCGGGAAGGAAGACCGTCTTTACTGTTCTCTTGCGGCCCTTTGCCGCTTGCTATTCTACTAATCTCTTCTTGGTCCAGTGGTTCCAGCGGCCCAAGGCATTCTCTAGGCACCTAGGCACCGACACTTATGCCTTAGTCTTTCATCCTTCCTGCCTCCAGTTTTCTATGTTGTGCACAATACTGCCATATACCATCTCTCAAGGGTCAGACCTTATTTCAGGACCCACCGGTCCCGACACCGGGTACCATCCAACTTTCCAAAATGCCCCGCTACTTGCCAACTCTTTTCGTGCGTGTGTGCGTGCGTGTGTCTGTGTGTGTGTGTGGGCGGGCGAGTGAGCATGGGGCCACCCTTTTCTGTTTTACGGCGGTAAAAAGAAAAGGGGGGTACACAATGACAGGAGGGAAAAGGGTGGCCCCACGCTCGAAAGAAAAGAAAAGAGACACACAAAAAGACAGGTGGTAAAATAAAAGGAAAGGGGGACACAAAACGACAGGCGCAGGAAATGAAAAAAAGAAGGAAAAGCTAACCAGGGAAAAGAAAACAAAAAAAAAGGGGACACAAAACGACAGGTGCGAAAAATGAAAAAAGGAAATGGGGGACACAAAACGACGGCCAACCGGGGAAAAGAAAAAAAAGAAAAGAAAAAAAAAGGCGAACACAAAACAACGGCCAACCTGGAAAAAAAAGAAGAAAAAAAAGGTGCCCACATATCGGATGGCTCGCCTCCAACGCCGACCATGTGCCCCGCCCCCGAGGCGCGCTCTCTCATTTAATGGCGCGATGTGAACATTTCAGTACACATGCCCCTCTGCTCACTCCCCCGCCCTCAGTCGCCTTCATCCTCCGCCCTTCACCAAAACTTTGACCCGAATCCGACGCTCAGCGCGCCATGGAGTCATGGATCTCCCCCCTGCGGCGAAAGCTGCTTTAGGGATAGGTTGTTGAAAACCTACTATGTGTTTTAATGTAGACTAAGTGTGTATTTCTGCAATATAGCATCTCCTCAATGTCACACAAAGTAGTAGTCTGAGACAGATCACTCAGAAGGTTTGCTTTCATAGGAATGTTTTCTTGATGGAGTAGCTTCCGCTGATTAGGGGGCGGGTTATGGATACACAAATTTATGCACTTGACTGAGTCAATTCTTCCAAATGAGGCAATCAATGTTGTCAGGGGACCCTAGACCGCAGGGTAGCGTCAAGAGTGGGTTCATGCATCATTTGTGACTCGACAGTGTAGTAGGAACCAGACTGAAGCTCCCGAGAATGTTCCCGAGAAAAAGAGAGAGAGACCTTGGTGCACTGCCTAATAGAATATCCACATGCAACAAAAGTATGGAAAAAGGCGGCTAGCACATGATCAGGAATATCACTGCCTGTGTTCCGACAGGCTACCTCTTCTTACTAGCCAGAGACAAGAAAGGGGAAGCCCAGATAAAGAATAGAGCATTCCCGACCTGACGAGGAGGACACCACTTTGGGTAATCTGCAGAGCAAGGTGCAAGCAAACAACAAGAAATAACAAGGTTAACTCGAGGAGTCATGGGGAGAAGTATTTTCTTATGGTTCTCCCACACATAATTGATTGTTGAATTAGTCCGCGTTTAGTGTCTTTCTGATCTACTGTCTGAGTGAATCTTTGATTCCTTTCTTAATTTTTTCTCAAAAATGTCCTCATCATAGTAGAGGTTCGAGAATCTACTTTGAAAATCGCTTTTGGATATCTAAACCTAAATCCGTATTTTTTTCTCTTAATTCCATATATCTAATTTTTACTTTTGCAATTGAATACCTATGTTTTTTTTAGTCGAGCTATGTTGTTTTTCAAAATTTGACCTATTTCTTCTCATCAGAGTTTCGTCAGAGTTTTGAACAGGGGCCCCATGTGATGGTCAAGTGGAGCATCTTGTAGGGTCTTGGGGGATTTGTTTTGAAGTAGGGGGTATAGGGCATCTGATGATTCTTCTCAAGGACGGACAAGGGATGGAATAGGGCTATTTAACGAGCACCGGCAAGGCGGAATTCTTATCAGATGAGATTGGCGTTAGGTAGTTTAGGCTGTCCAATGGGTACCGGCTGATGAGGGCCAGCTTTGGCGCGATTGGCGTTGGGTAGTGTTGTTTCACCTCCTTGAGGACGGAGACTGAAATTCTTGTGGGGGCCAGGAATTTCAGGGTGATGATGGTGCTCACCCGCTGCTGAGAAGCGGTCCTCTGGAATTCTTTACAAGGACGGAGTTTGGGAGGACGAATGAGGTTCTTCCTTTCTATGATGGAGGCAGGATTGTTCGGGTTGTCTGTTTCAGAGGTTGCTTGTTTTCCTAAATTTGTCCTATTCTTTCGTCAGAGTTTCGTAAGAGTTTTAACAAAGGCCCCATGGGATAGTCAAGTGAAGCATCTTGTAGGGTTTTGGGGGATCTGTTTTGAAGTAGGGGGAAGGGGCATGAAATGATTCTTCGCAAGGACGTAGAGGGGGATGGAATAAGGCTGCTTGACGGGTACCGGCTAGGGGGAGCTCTTATCAGATGCGATTGGCGTTGGGTGGTTTACGCTGTCTGATGGGTACCGACTGATGAGGGCGAGCTCTGGCGCGATTGGCGTTGGGTAGCGCTTGTTCACCCCTTTGAGGACGGAGACTGGAGTTCTTGTGGGGGCAAGGAACTTCAGGGTGATGATGGTGCTCACCCCCTGCTGAGAAGCGGGCCTCTGGAATTCTTTGCTAGGACGGAGCTAGGAAGGACGGATGACACTGGGATGGAGGGAGTTGGGGTGAATGCGATTGGTGCCAAGTATCTTGGCGGGTACCGGCCAACTTGAGGTTTTTCCTTTCGATGATGGAGGCGGGATCTTTGGGGTTGACTGTTCTAGGGGTTATTTTCTGTAAAACAAATCCTTAGAAAAAGGGATAGCCGAACACTGCGCTAGGCCCGCATCCCCCGCTCAACGCTCGTCGCCGACAAGACCAGCCATAGCTGTAAGCTTACGTGCGCGTGCACGCGCGCGCGTCCCGCCACGTGTGGGCGCTTCGCGCCGTGATCTCATCCAAGATGGCTCGATGTCATGCTAACCGACTCTAGTAGTCTTCAAAGGACGCCCACATCAGCAGCCCGCGAAGCGTCTTTTTCAGGATTTGAACCTCCACTAAGCAAGAAGGGAACCATCAGCCGTCGACGAAGAACCTTCACCGAATCCTTGGAGTATCGTCCTCCGCGCTTCGTCATTGCAGCTACCTGATCGCCAAAGATGGACCGGCCATAAATCAAGAATCTTTCAAGTGAGAGCTAAATGCTCCCTCTCCTCATTCCCACCGCCCCACTAACCCACCCCAACCCTTTCTTGTTCCCCTCACCAAGATCCCATCCGACCCACCCATCCCCATCTCGACCCCGCCCCCAACTCATTTCGACTCCCTCCAAATCTAAATCCCAACCCACTTCGACTCCCAATCTACCCCTTTTTCGACCCCTGCCCGACCCCAACTCCAACCCACCTCGTCTTCGATCCCAACTACAACCCACTTCAACTCGGCCCCAATCCCTACCCACTTCGACTCCCACCCGATCCCGACCCTCTTTGACGCCCACCCGATCCCGATCCCCAAACACTATGACTCTCACCCTTCCACCTCCCACTATTTGACTCCCAATCCTGACCCACTTCAACGTCCACTCGATCCCATCTTCACCCTGACCTCGTCCCACTTCGACTCCGACCC